GTTCCTACTGTATTTATACAAAAATGCGACAATGAACTTCACATGGTTCTTTCTTTCATGTGGAAAACATTCATAAAAGGGAGAGACTAGATGTATCATTAAACTTCTACCTACCTAATGAGGCCTGCCTGTTCTAAAAGGGAGAGACTAGATGTATCATTAAACTTCTACCTAATGAGGCCTGCCTGTTCTAGGGGGGGACTTTGCAAACAAGGATCAAATAGTAACAAAACAGCAATCCAATGAACATAATAGAAATTAGACAACCTGTCTTTAAGGCAAGCCATTCTCATGGGCATGCCACAGTCGGTTGAGGCAGATAACTGAATTTCACAGGAACTGTGTTAGCCAGCCTCGATGACAGCCCCATCATGGGGCCTCCTGAATTTACACCCTTGTATAGTCTCCTCTCACAACAAGGAACACTGATCTATAACCAACAGGATATCATGAAAATGACAGAGTGTAACTTGCTAAATGAAGTCATAAAAAACTTTCCGGTTTTCACCTGGCTCTCCTGAATCACACACTGTGAGGAGGGCTACAGCTGTCCTGCCTGTGAAGTCATCCGAGCAGTCCCGTGGAGAGGTGCATGTGACAAGACACGGTGGCTTCCTGCCAATGAGGGCTAAGTTGCCAGGTCTGTGAGCAAGGCAACTTGGGAGCAGGCAGTCCAGCCCCATTCAAGCTTTCAGATAACTCTAGTAGCCCTGGCTAATGTATTGACTACAATCTGCATCGACTACAACCCCAGGAGAGATCTGAGCTACTATCAGCCAGTGGAGCCCTGTCAGATCCCTGACCTGCAGAAACTATGTTCACTGTATTCAGCCTCTACTTTGTAATGCAGCGATAAATGAACTAATACAAATTTTGGTAACTGGAACTGGTGTGCTGTTGTAAAAAGAAGAAGAAAAGAAAACCTAAAATGTGTGCGTGGCTTTGGAACCTGGCATTGGGGAGAAGCTGGAAGGACTAAAAAGTGTTAGCAAAGGCCTGGAGAGTTCAGAGAAAGCTTAGTAGAGACCTAGTGGTCTCTCAGGAGGCCATGAGTGATGATGGCGTTAAGTGAGGGAAATGTTACTAGAAGCTAGAGTAAAGAAAATACTCGTTATATAGTGACAGAAAGTTTAGCAACACTACTGCCTGCTGTAATGTAGAAGGTAATATATATCATCAATAATAATAAAAGCATAATATGCTAATTAGACCGGATGACCTTCCGGACAAAGCCAGGGCTGCAAGGGAAGTCCAGGTCCCGGGTGCCAGAGGGAAGCCGGTGCCAGCAGCCAGGGGAAGGAAGGCCTACTCCTGCACGAATTTCGTGCATCGGGCCTCTAGTATGTGTGTATACACACACACAAACACACACACAAACGGTGGCCTAGCTAAGGAGATGTCCAGGCAGAGAGTTGAAGGTGCCATGTATAAAGTCTTTGCTAAGAATTTAGAAAATCTCCAAGGCAGTGCCTCAGAGAACCATTCTGCAAACAAAGAGGCTTCTAAGTAAGAGTGTAGTTTCTCACCAGTCTCAGCAGAAGCCCAATGTAGAAAACAGCTTAATGAGATCTGTGGGTGTGGCTTTTGTCTAATTATGCAAACCCTAATAAGATTCATAGGACAACCACATGCTTTTAAAAGAATTATACTAGCAGAAACACCATCAGTAGTTGCTGGAGCTCTAACCCAATACCTCAGAAAGTGACTGCATGTGGAGAGAGAGCCAAGAGGTAAAAGTTCAAATGAAGCTACTAGGGTGTGCCCTAATCCAATGTGACCAGTGTCCTTATTTAAGAAAAGGAAATTTGGACACACAAAGGACAACAGAAATGCACACACACAAAGGAAAGCCCACGTGGGGACACAGTGAGAGCACAGCCATCTGCAAGCCAAGGGGAAAGACTGCAGGAGAAACCAACACCTTGATCTTAGACCTCTGGCCTCCAGAACAGTAAAACGATAAATTCCTGTCGTTTACGCCCCCTCCCGCCCAACACAACCACTCCCACCTTCCTTCTACAATGCTAAAGCTCACCTAATTTTTAGATAGCTTTATTGAGATACATTTCACATACAATTTACCCATTTACTAGTAAATGGTTTTTAGTATATTCAGTTATACAACCATCAGAACTACCTAATTTTAGAACATTTCATCACCTTAAAAAAAACACAGAAAACCTACCCATTTCCTCTTCTCTTAATCCTAAGCAACCATTAATCTACTTTCTGTCTCTTTAGATGCAATATCAATACATTAATAGAATTATACAATATGTGGCCATTTTGTGACAGGCTCCTTTCACCTAGCATAATGTTTTCAAGGTCCATCCACGCTGTAACAAGTATAGTACTTCACTCCTTTTTATGGCTGAATAATATTCTGTTTCCTTAAGTCCATCTAATCGCAAAGACTTACTTCCTCCCCAGAGTGTGAGCATCAGAAGTGAACTCCCTTCATTCCTCAAATCCCAGGAGACAACATCTAAATCCCTTAGATCAGGGGTGGGCAACCTTTTTGTGAGTGCGTGCCAAAACCAGCAAAATCTCTGACTCAAAATTCTTCTGCATGCCAACCCTAATTTTTTGAGAACATGTTACGCCTACTTGATATCTCTTAAGGTGTACGTATGTGAAGAACCTTGAAGAAATAATAAAATTCATTCGAGCGACAAAAACACAGTATATGATGATGAAAAATACATTTATTTTTTAATGTATACATGTACACTGATAGTCCGACAGAAAACTTTATGACTCCGTTTGATATTATCAGTGGGACTTTTGCTGCTGCATCACTGATGACAGAGATTTTACATCAGGTTTATATTTCGTGACCTTCAGAGATATGCATGAGCTACTACTTTCATCCGTCAGGCTACTCCTATTATGAGACTTAACAAAATTCATCACTGAGAACAAAGATTCACAAGCGTATGTGGATGAAACCAAAACACTGGTCAGATCTAGGAAGGCAGGGAGAGTTAAGGCAGAGGCATAGAAATTGCTCTTCCCCTCTCTCGTCAATCCATGTCTATGGTCTTTAAGATAACTTGTTATGTAAAATTATTTATTTATCTAAGATGCACCTACACTGAATTTATCTGAAAAATAAAAAAGTCGATATTAGGAAAAAAATTGTAAATGGAAGATTATATGAGAGGGTTTCGCGTGCCAGCAAAAGTTACTGGCGTGCCATGTTTGGCACGGGTGCCAGGGGTTGCCCACCCCTGCCTTAGATCAATATTCAGTGGCCAATTGTTATATAATACCCATTAGCTATGATCTGAACCATTCAGAACCACTAACTGAACCCTTCTTTATGACTATATCCAGTACATGCTAGATCTACATATTTAGTTAACAAAACAGAAGCCTTCTCTACCCTTATAAATAAACCTATTGGGTGCTACCTACTTTCTACTTAGAATTTAAGTCCTCCTAAAAATTACAGATGCTCATTGGCTCTTTAAGAGAAATCGATAGTAAAGGACATTCAAAAGGAAAGATGATGATGAATGAAAATGCTTCCCATAGCCCATCTGTAATATGGAAAATATCAGAAACAACCAGAGTGCAAAAATATGTAACAGACAAGTAAATAAGAGAACATTCATGTAATGGAATGTTTTACAATGGTTTACTCAAATGTTTTTTAAAAGGAAATGCTGATGTTATCCATTAAAGAGGCAGTGCTAAAAATGCATCAACAGTACCAATCAACGTGCAAAAGAATATTCACCAGAAAACAACTAGAAGCATTAAAATTTTTAACATTTGTTGGCTCTGGATGGGTTATTTATGATTTTTTTCTTTTTCCCTCACATTTCCAGCTCTGAGCACATATCCCTTGACAACAGACTGTTTAAGAATTGGAGTTTTTATTAAAATCTGAAAGCTTAGGGGGAGAGGAGTCAATGGACACCAGGGGTCACCGCGCCACACCGAGCTGGGTATTTTTTGTGCGCACTTTCTGTGCATTGTATTTCACACTGAAAAGGTCCCAACGGGTGTAAGGTATGCTCCTTGAAGTCAGGAGCCAACACAACTCAAGTCATCCATTTCCCACGTCCTTTGCACGTTCTACTACTAAATAATTATTATATACCCTCACTATGCACACTTAAACGCATTGACCACTTTTTTTTTTTAAGAATATGTTTTTATTGATTTTAGTGAGAGAGAAAGGGAGAAGGAGAAACACAGATGACAGAATATCGATTGGCTACCTCCTGCACGCCCCCTATTGGGGATAGAGCCCGCAACCTGGGCATGTGCCCTGACTGGAATTGGAACTGTGACCTCCTGGTTCATAGGCTGATGCTCAACCACTGAGCCACGCCGGCCGAGCTTGACTAATTCTTAAACTTGAAAAAGTATCCCAATTCCTCTTCTGTGACAAATAACTATCACTGTTTTTGCTGCGATGTTAAAGGCATGTAGACAAGGGCCAAAATTTCAGGTTCTACAAGAATCCCACGTGGTAATTTCACAAAGTGTCTCTCACCTCTTCAATTTAAAGCTCACCTTACACTATCAACTCCTGGAAAAGTACCAAGTACCAGAAGAAAATGACCAAAAAAGTAAGGAAGACAATGTCTAGGAATAAGAACGAACAATGGCATGTGTGATACCAAGATAAGGAAGGAAATCAATAAATTATGAACACAGTAGACTTCCCCCGTTAAAGCTAAAACCATTCTTCAAAAATCCAGATAAACAAACAGCTGGAATTTCAAGTTGCATATTTAGTCCTGGGTTGCACCATTTTCTGAGCGATGCCTTTCTAAAATGAAAGAAGTGTATTATTTTATTGTAAAGTATCAATAGCCTGTCAAACACTGGGACTGTTCAGTAAATTAGGTAGTTGATATAGTGTAAACCCGTGGTCGGCAAACTGCGGCTCACGAGCCACATGCGGCTCTTTGGCCCCTTGAGTGTGGCTCTTCCTAAGCCTTAAGAGTACCCTAATTAAGTTAATAACAATGTACCTACCTATATAGTTTAAGTTTAAAAAATTTGGCTCTCAAAAGAAATTTCAATCGTTGTACTGTTGATATTTGGATCTGTTGACTAATGAGGTTGCCAACCACTGTAAACTATAAGGAAGGTGTCACTGGAGAAACAGACAATTTGAATTCAATGCAACACACATTTGCTAGAGAGAAACTGCAGGAAGTTCTGCACAGCGTCCGCCAACTCTTAATTGTTTCTTTAATAATTAACACCTTTCGTACCGCTCACGAGCGTTCTCGTGTTTCGCGCGCCATCTGTTAAGGACCGCTCACGAGTTTTCTCGTTTTTCACGCGCCATCTGTTATGGACCTTAGATGTCAACACACTGTCTTGTCCACATCGAATGAAGCGATCTCATTGGTGGAAACCGTGCAGGTCAATCTACGAAAAACTATATATAGTAAAGGACATTCAAAAGGAAAGATGATGATGAATGAAAATGCTTCCCATAGCCCATCTGTAATATGGAAAATATCAGAAACAACCAGAGTGCAAAAATATGTAACAGACAAGTAAATAAGAGAACATTCATGTAATGGAATGTTTTACAATGGTTTACTCAAATGTTTTTTAAAAGGAAATGCTGATGTTATCCATTAAAGAGGCAGTGCTAAAAATGCATCAACAGTACCAATCAACGTGCAAAAGAATATTCACCAGAAAACAACTAGAAGCATTAAAATTTTTAACATTTGTTGGCTCTGGATGGGTTATTTATGATTTTTTTCTTTTTCCCTCACATTTCCAGCTCTGAGCACATATCCCTTGACAACAGACTGTTTAAGAATTGGAGCTTTTATTAAAATCTGAAAGCTTAGGGGGAGAGAAGTCAATGGACACCAGGGGTCACCGCGCCACACCGAGCTGGGTATTTTTTGTGCGCACTTTCTGTGTATTGTATTTCACACTGAGAAGGTCCCAATGGGTGTAAGGTATGCTCCTTGAAGTCAGGAGCCACCACAACTCAAGTCATCCATTTCCCACGTCCTTTGCACGTTCTACTACTAAATAATTATTATATACACTCACTATGTACACTTAATAAATGCATTATTGACCACTTTTTTTAAGAATATGTTTTTATTGATTTTAGTGACAGAGAAAGGGAGAAGGAGAAACACAGATGACAGAATATCGATTGGCTGCCTTCTGCACGCCCCCTACTGGAGATAGAGCCTGCAACCTGGGCATGTGCCCTGACTGGAATTCCAACTGTGACCTCCTGGTTCATAGGCTGATGCTCAATAGATACTTACGTAAATTTTGTTTGGTCCCTCTTCATAGAGGAAAATGTATCATACGTTAAAAAAGTACTAGGAACTTTAATTGTTTAATTGTTTTTGTAAATAAAAATGTTATAATTATTGAAAAACAACACCTAAAGTGCATTATGATCTGTAGTTATGATGATTTAAATAATGTGCAGTTTGCCCAAAAACGTGCGGTCCCTGGCGTATGTCTTAGAGATTTCTATGCGGTACGAAATGTGTTAAGGTAAGTACTCTGAGGCAGCTACTGGGTTCAACCTGCACCAAATAGGTGCAGCAGTAAGAGTGGGAAAACAACAATAAACAAAGCGTGTGGTTCACATCACGGGAGAAGAAGATATGGTGGCTGATTTGTTTTGTTCTGACTCAGCTCATTCCAGCATCCAGGTTTCCACATGTGTTCAAACATCCTTTTGTATAAATAATAGTAAGTCCCCTGCTTCAAAATATGGGTTGTCTTCCCAAATTTCATTTGTGAGTTATTTGAAACTTGGAATCCATTTCCTCAAATACACATGGGTTTCCAAGGCTGGTCCCAGCTGTCCATTGACCTCGCAGTATAGCTGAAAAGACCACAGCTTCTTGTTCACGGCGAGTAGCAGAGAACAACGCCATGTATTAATTATCATGCAGCAGCTGCAAGGCCCAGGCTACTTTTTATTCCTGGGGTTCTGACGCTTAGGAGTTTGGTCGCTCACATTTCTCTGACAAGGGCTCCCCACTCCCAAGGAAGCTTATATATTTCCTTTCAAAGCTTGAGAGGCTGCGCTGTGGACCTCTTCCTGGCAGAGTGGGGCAGGGCTAAGACAGTGGCCTCTGGTCTCCACCAACAGGGCCAGCCAGCCACCAGCAGCCCTTTCTGTCACCCCCCCACACACACACACAGGTTAGCTAGCCCACGCAGCCCACGCTTCAATGCCCACTCAATCAGTTAGCAAATCTCTGTCTTACTTTCTCACTTTATACTTGGTGTTTAAAAACTCAAACAGTTTTTTAATCCTATTTATAGCAACCAAGTGTGGCTCCTCCTATCAACCTGTGGGGACGATTTTCAAATAGGCAGCAGCTGCCGGAGTGAAGACAGCCTCCCAGTCTCCCTCGCTCTCTAGAATGACAGATGTTCACCCCACAACAGTTTATCTCCCACAAATTATGCACGAGGTGGCTTAAACTAATGCATACATAGCTTCTCACCTTTCCACACCAAAATGTATTTAGGGGAACAGAGATTTCTAACAGAAGTACCCCAGTGTACTTTCCATATCAAACCCATAAGTTTCAGTTCATCCAACACAGTGAGAAGCAGAAAACCTCAAAGGTTACGTGTCAAAACTACAGCTTTTACCAGAACGCTGAGACATGAGTGAAATACTCATCTGAAAAACAGTGTACCCGCTGGATCCCAGGGTCCAATGGACTCCCCTCTAACGGATCCCAGCCCCCCACCCCCAAGAACCACCTCGTCACCACCTCTCCCTCTCCACAGACACATTCTCTCAGTATTTAGATTCTCACACCTCAGCTGGTTTAAAACAGAAAAAAAATATTAACTTCCATAACCCCAACCATAGCAGAATGGCTCCTCAAATTCTACACAGACGCACAAATGCACACATCCCATCCACCCTCGTCCCAGAAGCTCCCAGGGGTCCCCCACTCCACAGCCATGGGGCCCAATGCGCCTTCTCGAGGACCTCAGGCAGGGCAGGCGGCCAGGTGATG